TCTTCTGGATTTCTATCTGTAGATTTAGAATCATTTCTAATTTTTCATTTATTTTGTTATTTTGTTCTTGTATTTTCTTCCAAAATTCTTCTAGGCTTTTTTCTATGTATTCTTTGGTCTGTCTCTCAATCCTTTGAAGATATCTAAAGATAATTCTTTTGAATTCCTTATCAGAGAGTTCCAATGCTGCTTCTTCCTCATGGATGTGTTCTGGGTCTGTATCCTGGTCCCTTGTTTCTCCTCCGTTATCTTGCTTCTTTGTGTGGACTGTGATGATCTGTTATCTCCGAGACGTCATGGCGTAGTTGTATTTAGATCTCTGTTTAACTGTTTGTGAAGAGCAGCCAAGGGTCAGTCAGGTTCTTTTTTGTGGTTGTTTATTGTTGACCTGTTGGAGAAGGACATGGTGGCTCTCACTCAGTAAGTGAAGCTGCAGGAGTTGTGGGTGTAGTTGTATCGTATGTGGATGGCCTGTTGCTGTCTTCCACTCAGTTAGACAAAAATAACAATTGAATAGCCATCAAAAAAGTAAAAGCAAAAGAACAAAAAATACACCATGTAATCACACAGGAACAGTAACCAAAAATAGAAAAAAAGGAAAAAGAAGATAAAAGAAAAAGAAACCCCAAAATCCTACAATATCTGAGGAGAGAGCAGTAGGAGAAAAAAGAGAAGGAGAATAATGAAGGAAAAAATGGGAAAAACGCAAATAGAAAAATAAGGAATGGGGTTAACCACAAGAAAGAAAAATAAAATTGCAATCAGGAACAGGGGAAAGAAAAAAGACTGAAAACTAGAACCTGGGAGGTGAAGAATAAAGAATAATAGTAAAAAGGAAAAAGTAATAATAATAACAGTAATAATAATAATAATAGTAGTAGTTTTAAAACAAACTAAAAAACAAAAAACAGAAAAAAAAATCGGGATGGTGGAGGGCACCCAGGCAGCTCTGAGCACACAGACTGGGATGGAATTCCTGCTGGCTCAGAAAGTGGATGGCAGTGAGGGATGGCCGTACCTCCATTCACCACGAGGGTGTGGGGTATAAGAGTAACAAGGGGAATGTCGTACTTTTCCAGTCATCCTGGTCCAAAGTGTCCTTGGGATTCCTGGCAAGTGTAGTCTATTAAGTCCCTGGAATCTGGGAGAATGCTGTGGCTTTAAATATCCAAAATGGTCTAGCTGCTTGTAAACATTCAAAATGGCTACGCCCTCTGGACAGACAAAAGTCCGTTGCTCAGCCCACCGTCCTCTTCCCTGCTTTCCCTTTTATTCTCCAACCACCAGAGCAGTCCTCCATGCAGTACCTGGCTAACAGGGCTGATTTTTAGGTTAATTCTACCACTAATCGGCAATATCCAAGCTGTCTCTGCTGTCAACATTGCTGCCAGACTGCAGCTTTGTAGTCTCCTTTTTTGGTGTTTTCATGGAAGTTCTTCTGTTAGTTGGAGTTTAGTCCACTTCTGTATTCTTCCCTTCAAGGCTCAGGGGCCCATGATTATCTTCTGTATCTGTGTTAATTGAGTCTCCTTTTCTTTGTTGAAGAGGGTCTGTGCAGTCTTTCTGCCTATTCCGGCATCTTACCAGAACTCGGAAGCTCTGGCCATTCTTGCTTTTAAGGAGCATTCTGGCTACACTTCTTCCAGGACAGATTTGTTAGTTTTTCTGGCAATCTATGGTTTTTCTGTGTTCTTTGCCAATAACATAATTCTTCAGTTTTCCCTATTCATTGTCCAGCTTTCATGTGCTTATGGAGATGATTGAGAATACCATGGCTTGGGTCAGCTACACTTAGTCTTCAAAGTCACATCTTTGCTTCTTAACACTTTAAAGAGGTCTTTTGCAGTAGATTTGCCAAGCTAAATATGACGTATGATTTCCTCACTGCTACTTCATGGATTTTGATTGCAGATTCAAGTAAAGTGAAATCCCTGACAACTTCTATCTTTTCTGTGTTTATCATGATGTTGTTTATTAGTCCAGTTGTGAGGATTTTAGTTTTCTTTATGTTGAGGTGTAGTCCATGCTGGAGACATATGACATCTGATTTCCTGATGGCTGCTTCTATGGGTGTTGACTGTGGATTCAAGTAAAATGAAATCCTTGACAACTTTAATTTTTCTTCATTTATCATGACATTGCTTATTGGACCAGTTGTGAGGATTTTTATTTTCTTTATATTGAGGTATAGTTCATATTGTAGAATGTAGTCTTTGATCTTCATC